TTATAATTATTTTCAGAATCAGCAATCTTCACATGACTTGTTAAGTAACTTTCCCTTTTCCATTGATAGAGGTGATATGTCTAAGCCATTCTGTTTCATTCAATTCTCTGTGTAGGTCTTTTTGAATTTTTGTTCTTTGTTTTTAATTACAATTGTACCATATGTTTGTTTTTCAAGATAAGGTTTCTCCATGTAGCCCTGGATGTCCTGGGACTGGAATTGCCGTGTCGATCAGGCCTTGCACTCACAGAGATCTGCCTGCCTTTTCCTCTTGAGTGCTAGAATTACAGGTTTGTGCCACTACCCCCTGGCTACACTATACTTTTAAATTAATAAATTCAATTATTTTCTTCTGTAGCAAGGTAACTTTCTTGACCCTGATGAATCTAAGATGGAGAAAATATGATACAGCCATTCTAATAAATACAAAAAAATTAGCAATATCCTAAAAATGGGCATGGATCCCATGTAAGGATATCACAGGACGCAAGGTAAGTAATAAAGTTCCCAGGAGCCTTTGTCTTTTGTACCTCCACACATGTCACTTACAGTAAAACTTAGAAGGACTTTATTTTTCTTCTCGTCCTATTGAGTGTTAAGAAGCAGTTGCTTTTATGGTTAAAGGGCATTTGCAGGATTGCAAAGCTCAGTTGTTAACCTGAACATTTTCTTTGCAGTCTGAGGGCAACTGCTCATAGAAATAGGGCCAGGCTGTACAGGTTAGCATGTCTACTGCAAACACCATTAGTTCCTTCTCCTGAGGAGGAATATGAAGTCTTTTAAAATAAATTTATACACAAAATGCTGTCACATTTAAAGCAGAGGAGATAGAGGTAACATGAGATTTTTAAAAAGTTATCTGTTTATAGTGATTCAAACGTGGTACATTGAGAAAGTAAAACGCATACATTCTAATAACAAGGACACCTGTGGACATCTGGTCGACGCAAAGCTCTTCTTTTCTTTTAGGAGCAGTGTTTTCTCTTCCCTAATAAAAGTTTTCTTTACCAACAGATTCTGTCAGCTCTGTGGAGAATTTCTAGGCTGTCACCTGTCCTGACTGAGATTTGTCCTGACTCTTCATTTTAATTTTTGACTACCAGAGAACACAGACCTGATCCAGACCCCTAGACTGGAACATAGATAGGAGACTCTTTTGCAAGTATGCACGAGTCTTCAAGCTTCGTTGGAGGGAATAGTATCACACACATTTTTCTAAATAGCATGTATTAAAATCCTGATATCTTGAGATTGCTATCTTGGAATGTTTTCTTATAACTGGAACACATACTTTTTCATAACTATACTTAATTTTTACCTTACAAGACTGGATGATGATTAGATCACAATCCCACATCAGAAGCTAGGATTTGAACACCACTTCTGCAATCTACTAAAATGAGTTTCTCAGCCTAAGCTACCCGATTTCTTTGTATAACATCACTACATCTGCCTCTCAGAGTCCCTGGAGGGATGGCTTACAGGAAACAGCCTTGAGAAACGGTAACAACTGACATCACTGTTGCAACTACTACTACTACTACTACTACTACTACTACTAATAATAATAATAATAATAATAATAATGTTTGATAGTGGTTTAATTGATATCTTTCCTTTGGCTTCCTCCTGCATATGGTTACCAGAGAAGTAAGCCAAGGTGAAATTGTACCTATCACCAAGGACATTATCTGACCTGACCCATAAAACTTGTTTAAAATTGTAGATTACTTCTGGAGCTACAAAGAGATCTCTGTAGTCAGTCAAGTGTTTACCTTAGAAGTACAAAGTCTGAGTTGGCCCCCAAGTATGCATCTTCAATTAAGTTTTTATATTGCACACTTCTGATCCCAGCACGTGGAGACAGAGACACATGCAGACACATGGTGTTTAGTGGCTGGTCAGTGTAGTCTATTTGATGATTTCCAGGCCAATGAGAGATACTCTGTCTCCAAATGAAAATGGAGGACAACTGAAGAACTGCCCTCAAAGTTGTCTTGTGGCCTCCACATGTACACTCTTGCATGTGCACCTGCACCCATGCACACATACAAATTTGCATACACTCCCCCAGACACACCCAAAAACTGAACATAACTTATAACAGGTATTTTTCTAAAACACCATTTCAAACCAACTGGGTACTATTCTTTTGGGTATAGGATGTCTTTATAAGCACAGCATGAATTCTTTTCAATAACTGAGCATTGAGCTTACTACCTAGCAGGCACTTGGCCACTTCACAAAAGCCAAATCATTTAATCCTCAGAACTGCACTGTGAAGTAGATGGCATTATCACCATCTTGTAGCTTAATAAAGTGACACTCACGGAGAGATTCCAGCAGCTACAAAGTGGCTAACTATACATGAACTAGGTCTGCCTGGCTGTTCTGCACAAACCACTCATCTCTCCACTTCTATACGCTCTCCCTAGGATTGTAAGGATCCGGATTAGGAACAGCTGGACAGAGTCTGTGGATTCTGAGGTTTAAAAATCTAATCATTATGAGTATGTAGTTCACGAATGCAGCTTAAAACACCAGGAATACAGTATCCCAGGATAAGAACTCTAAATATACACAATTTGCTAAGATCTAGGATGTCCTTAACCAAATAACCTATTCATTAATTAAAATCTTTAAAATTCATGCAATTTGTGTCTAGATATGTTAAAATGATTAATGTAACTTGATCTTAATTTCTACAGTTAACTATTTTTCTGAAAAACTCTACTAAATAAAATTGACTTAAAACTCCAGTAACCCAAAGCAGTAGTCTCTTTCTGTTTGCATGTGTGTGTGTGCATGTTTGTGCACCTGTGTGAATGCATGTATGTGCATGCGTGTATGTGACAGTATATGTGTGTGAAAGTATATGTGTGTTCATGTGTGTGTGAATGTATGTTGTGTGCATGTGTGAATACATGTGTGAGTGCAGAAATGTATGTATATGTGTGTGTGTGTGTGTGTGTGTGTGTGTGTGTGTGTGTGTGTTGTGTATGAATATGTGTGAAAGTACGTGTGCATGAATATGTGGGAAAGTACAGAGGTCAACTTTATGAATTCCTTCATTGAGCTACACCTTACTATTTTTGAGATAGAGTCTCTCATTGACCTGGAGCTCAGCAGGTAAACTAGACTAAATGGCCCTGCTCTGAGATTACCACACACAGCTCTTTTTTCTTTCTAATTTGGTTGCTGGGGATCAAACTTAGGCATTTGTGTTTGGATGATTCTTACTGGATTTAGAAATGCTCCCAGTCTCCATAGCATTTATGTACTAAAAAGGAAGTGGAGGATGCTGGGATGTTGGCATTGAAACAGAAAAACAAGGAAACACTGCCATTAGTTGCTGGAGAGCAAAGTCAAAGCTAGAACAAGTAAACTGCAACACTAATTTAACATAATCAAGCAACTCCTCACATACAGCCAAGTTTGCAGAACAGCTTGAAAGGTACCCAGCACTATACCCATTAGGAAGACT